ATCACTTTGGACATGGAACACTGAAATGGTGATTAATCTTCTTCCTGAACATTCTTGTCAAACGCTTACTTCACCTCACACTTTCTTCATTTCTCAAAAAACATCTGGCATGCAGCTTTTTTCCCCTCCTCCTTTCTACATGTTGCCTAATTTCTCCCCCTCTTCTCTTGTCTTCTATTTTTGCTACTTGGGGAAGAAAATGCTAATAGTAAGATGAGTATGTCAATAAGCCAGATGCCTGGTGTTGTCTCCTGGGATTGTGAGGGAGGCAGGTTAGAGCTCATCCCCATTTTACCAAAAGAGAGGAAGTAATATATCAAAAAATACCTAATGTTAATGGAAGCAAAAGTGGGGGCAAAGATCCAGGGCTTCTGATGGCCTGGGAAGTGCTCTGCCCTGCATGCCATGATTTGAAGCATGTAGACACTGAGGTTCAGCCAGCTTGGGTGAATTGGTGAATGTTGCCAACTGTCCTTCTTCCTTTTGCTATGCAAACTGTCAAGATATGGATTCTTGCATAATGTGGGACTTCTTAGAATATTTGCTTTTATTTCATTTGTTTTTGTTTTAAATTTTGTATTTTTAAATGATTTCAGACTCAAAAGAAACTGTAAAAGTTGTACAGAGAGTTCCTGTGTACCCATAATCCAGCTTCCATCAATGATAACATCTCACGTAACCATGGTACATCTTCAAAACCAGGAAATTGATGTTACAACAGTACAATGAACTAAACAATATACTTTTATGATGGCCTGAATTATTTCCACAACAAATTTATATTTTTAAGCCATGTTTTAATCAACTTTTCATTGCTTTGACCAAAAGAACTGACAAGAACAGGAGGAAAAATTTATTTGGACTCATGGTTTCAGAGGTTCAGTCAATGGTCGACTGACTCCATAGCTCTGGGCCTGAGGCGAGACAGAACATCAGTGTGGTGGAGGAAGGGAGCTCAGGACATGGCAACCAGGAAGCAGAAAGAGCTCCCCTCACTGTGGACACAATGTAAACACCAAAGGCACCTTCCCAGTAATGTACTTCCTCCAGCTACACCCTACCTGCCTATACCAATTGCCCAGTTAATCCATCCTAATTAATGCACTAATTAGGTTACATGTCTTATAATCTAATCATTTCACCTCTGAAAATTCTTGTGTTGTCTCATGCATGAGTTTTTGGGGAACACCTCATATCTAAATCATAACAAGCCCTAAGTCCCAGTGTGACTGTATTTGGAGAATAGCCCTTTAGGGAAGTAATTAAGGTTAAGGTAATAGTGGGACCTTAATCTGATAGAACTGGTATCCTCATAAAAAGAGGAAGAGATACCAGCATTCTCTCCCTCATCCCTATAAATATTGAAGAAGGGCCATGTGAGGATATTTTATTCCTTGCCTTCTACAAGCCAGGAATAGAGTCCTCACCAGAAATCTATTATGGCACTGCAGTCTTGCACTGCTAGTCCCTAGAACTGTGAGAAAACAAACACCTATGATATTTTGTTTACGATATCAGTTTGTGATATTTTGGCGGCCTGAGCAGACTAATACAACCTATGCCATTTTACCATTTTTTATATTTATTTTTTAGTTGTATTTGGACACAATACTTTTATTTTATTTGTTTATTTTTATGTGGCGCCGAGAATCAAACTCAGGGCCTCTCATGTGCTAGGTGAGTACTCTACCACTGAGCCACAACCCATCCGCCATTTTACCAGTTTTTATATGCATGTATCTTTTTTTAGCATATAGTGCTGTATAAGTTTTCTGGGCTTGCCATAAACAAACATACCAAAGACTTGATGAGTTAAACAACAGAAATTTATTTTTCACAGTTCTGGAAACTAGAAGTTCAAATAAAGGTCCTTGTAGAGGTGATTTCATTCTAAGGCCTCTCTCCTTGGCTTGCAGATGGCTGCCCTCTTGCTTCCTCTTTACATGTTCATCCCTCTGTGTATATATAGCTATAAAAGTCTTGTATGTCTCAGTATGTGCTAATCTCTTCTTATAAGGATACCCAATTAGATTGGATTAGGGCCCACCCTAATAGACTCATTCTAGGCTAATAACCTCTTTAATGGCTGTATCTCCACAAACAGCCACATTCTGAGGCAGTGAGGATTAGGTTTCCAATATATGAATTTTGGGGTACTTAGTTCAATCCATAACAAGTGCTATGGTATTTTATTATGTACAGATTTGTTATTCAACATCACAATTAGAAAAGGTGTTCTATTAGCACAAAGAAATTCTCTCATGCTACCCCTTTATATATTTTTAAATATAACTTTTTTAGTTGTCAATGGACCTTTATTTTTATTTTTTTAATGTGGTGCTGAGGATAAAATCCACTGCCTCTCACATACTAGGCAAGCGCTCTATTGGTGAGCCACAACCACAGCCCCTCTTTTATATTTAAACTTTCCTCCATTCCTAATCCCTGAAACCACTGATCTATTTTTCTTTTTTAAAAACATTTATTTTTTTAGTTGTAGTTGGACACAATATCTTTTCTTTATCTATTTTTATGTGGTGCTGAGAATCGAACCCAGGGTCCCACATGTGCTAGCCGAATGCTCTACCGCTGAGCCACAACCCTAGCCCCTGATCTGTTTTTCTATCACTTTAATTTTGTCATTTTTTCAGTGCCATGCAAATATAGTCATATAGTATGTGATATTTTGAGGTTGGCTTGCTTTTTTTCCCCATTCAGCATAATGCCCTTGGGATCCATCCTAGCTGTTTCAGTAATAAATAGTTGGGATTTTTTCCTGCTAAGTAGTATTCCATATGGATGTACCATAGTTTGTTTATCCATTCACCAAAGAAAGCTCTTGATTTCCACTTTTGGACTATTACAAATGAAGCTAATATAAACATTTGTGTATAGGATTTTGTGAAAAAATGTTTATTTATTTAAATATTTATTTTTTAGTTGTAGTTGTACACAATACCTTTATTTTACTTATGTATATTTATGTGGTGCTGAGGATTGAACCCAAGCCATCCATGTGCTAGGTGAGTGCTCTACCACTGAGCCACAACCCCAGCCCCCCAAAATATGTTTACATATGCCTCAAATAAATACCCAGAGTGTTATTGCTAGGTCAAATGGTAGTTACATGTTTAGTTTTATAAGAAACTGCTAAACTGTTTTCAGAGTGCCTGCATCATTTTACATGCTCCAAATTATAAATGAAGTGCTCAGAATCTCTACATCTTTGCTGGCGTTTAATGTTATAACTATTTTTTATTTTAGTCGCTCTGATAGGTATGATAGGGTGTGTGAATACACAGAAGATATCTTGCTGTGGTTTAATTAGCTTCCCCCTAATTGTTGGTGATGTTCACTACATGTCTCTTTATGTTTTTTTGTCTGTTTTCTAAATGAATCATCTGATTTTTTGCTGTTGTGTTTTGAAAGTTCTTTACATATTCTAAGTACAAATGTTTTGTCAAATAGCTGATTTGTAAATGTTGTCTTCAGTCTTTGGCCTGTCACTTCATCTTCTTAACAGAATCTTTCACGGAGTGTAAAGTTTTAAATTTTGATGAAGTAGAGCTTATCAATATTTTTATTGGTCATGCTTTTGGTGTCATGGCTAAAAACTACTCACCAAGCCTTAGGTTCTGAATATTTTCTTTTATATTATCTTCTAAAATTTTTATAGTTTCATATTTTACATTTCAGGGTGTGATCCACTTTGAGTTGATTTTTGTTTAACAATGAAGTTTAGGTGGAGGTTCATTCACTATAAATTTCTCTGTATTTTAACCTGTGCATTTACTTACAGCCTCATGTACAAAAGGGCCCTGTGCTTGGTTTAATGTCCTGCTGCTCCTCTTTTGTAATTCTTAATAATTTCATCTCCCAACTCATGTTGAAAATCCAATGGGACAATGGTGCATGTGCATAAGGGGAGTAGATATCTATTCTTTAGTGCTACCCCATGTATGTATAACATTTATGATATTATATTAGCACAGAATTCCAGTGAATCCACAATGTCCAGGAGTACAACAAGACTCAAATGAATTATGTTTATGACTAAGCAAGGGCCCAGAAAACCCCAAGAGGCTATTATTTTCATTTAGACCAAGACTTGGTTTGATTGCAAAAAGAAGGCAGTGGTGTTCTAAAATGACCAAGGAACCCTATCATATTCTTTCTTACTCATGTTATTTTCCTCTATTAGCCAACCACTATAATTGACTATGATATAGAAGTAAAAGATAGGGCAGTCCGTAGCTCCTTTTCTTTTCTATTCTTCCTTAGAACAGTAAATCAAAGGTGAAGACTATTGGTAGAATGTGTGTACATGAAAAAGTGAAATACAAAGCAGTTCAGTTTTGTGTAATATTTCCATTGTTCTGATAAGAATGAAATACATATTCATATATGAGTTATTAAATGTGAATTGTACACTTTTAGTGATATTAACCTATGAGTTAATGCTCTTATATTTACATTTAAACTAACCTTGAAAAATAAAGATGAACAATATAATAATTTAAATGTCAATTATTCTTAGAACCACATTAAATAACAAATAGAAAGTACCATCACACACACACACACACACACACACACACACACACACACGGGGGTGGGGAGGGAGAGGAGCAGGGAGGCACATGCAGTGGGTAGGTGTGGAAGAGGAATTAATAGATAGGGTGTGTGAATACACAGAAGAAAGAAAACACTTTTTTAGTAGCTTTAACAGCAATTTCCCCCTGCTTTAAGAATGAGAGACCTCACTTCTTCATTTTGCACCAGGCCCCACAAATTAATGTAGCCTGCCCTGACTGTATACTTAAAATTTTTCATAATACAATTTTGGGAAAAATCCTACCTATTCTTTAAATATTAACACAAAACTCCTGTGCAGAGTTGTCTTAACATTTAATTTTGATAGTAATTTTTAACAATTTAAAATTGATACATAATAATTATACATATTTCTAGGATACAGTATGATATTTTGATTACATATATAGAATATGGAGTGCTTTGTGAATTTGAATGTCATCCTGGTGCAGGGATCATGCTAACCTCTGTATCATTCTAATTTTTGTAAAAGTGTTGCCTGAAATTAGCATGAAACTACAGTAACCTTTTAGTCCTTTGAGGTCCTAGTGGAAAAGCCAGCTGTATTATTATTTGGCTGTACAACACTGAGAATGCTTTTTCCCTTCCTGAGTTTATGTCTTGAACAATGAAGAGGTTGAAATAGATGGTGCTTTCTGAAGGTACTCAAGTTGGGAGACTGTGATTCTCTCATTTATACCATTTAAAGGCCTTTATTTATATATAGCTGGTATTTGGGAATGACCACTTTGGATTTGAGCATTTGGAGAAAGTGCCACCTCCCTTGTCTATTTCTATTCTCATGATGGTTTGCATATAGTAGGCACTTATGAGCTGTTGTCTGGATAAATTAATAAATAAATCAATGAGCTGTTATTTGTGTGTCACCTCATGGCTGCTTCAGAATCAACCATTTTATCCTCTTTTATCATAAGAAAGTTTGCATGGAGTCTATGTTGTAGAAAGTCTGATTGTGATAGAAGTGAGCTCTGATACTGCCCTGGGATATCAACCAGCCTCTTGGTGCCACTCTCTTCCCTTGTGAGGTAAAATTTTCCCTCTTTCCAAACTCTTTGCATTTCTGAGGTCTTAAACTCATATCTCAAATCCTCAGCGTGTGTGTGTGGGAGTAAGTCCACCCTGCTCACCAGGCTTGGTGATATGTGTCCAGCTCAGAGGTCCATAAAGGAATTGGGTAATGGGCAGAGTGTCTCATGTGGGTTGAAGTCTCAGCCCCAAGAGGACCTTTAAAACTTCCCATCCATACTAGAGACTTTTATTTCCCACACCCGCTGGAGGGGTGGAGTGAGGCACAATGTGGGGAGGATGGCTTTGTGAACTCCAACACCTTGAGGCAGTGAGCCATGAATACGGACAGAAGAGTAGTCTGGGCCTTTGGAAGCCCTGAGCTGCCCATTTCCTTGCCACTGGCCAGAACACTTTGATGGCATTACTAAACCATATTAGCCCCACTCCCTCTAGCCCCACTTTCCACTTTCACAAGCTCTACTCGTCACTTCTTAATGAATCAGGCAGAATTTTTCCAGCTGGGCTTGGTATTGGTTTCCCCAAATGACCCTTTAAAAGTTCAGATTTGAATCCATGGATCTGTCTGAGCAGGAGGCGGGCCTCATACATCACTGAACACTCATCTTCTCAGAAGGTCGAGGCCTTGGCATGGTTGGGTGTTGATGTCTTTATGGATGGAAAATGTTGGTTTTGCATTCTATCAGTAACCCCCACAGAGGTGATATTGGGATTCAGGGAATCTAATCATTTGGAAAATGCTTGATTGGAGCCAGCTCTAGCCTCATTTATATTTTGGAAAGAGAAGATAATGACTTGAACTACAGAGATGGCTACCCCTCCACAATCTTGTGAGACGGGCTATGGAATGACCAAGCTGGCAATGTCCACTGAGTTGGGTGATAGGGAGGCAAATTCAAAGAGAAACACAACAAAAGATCAAAAGCAGTAGTGGTGAGAGTACTGGGTTGGGAATCAGCACATCAAGGTTCCAGTTCTGACACTTTTATACTCTTTTTCATCATGTTACATTGAGTAAATTTCTTTCATCTCAATTCCCTCATAAAAAATGAAGATCTTTTCAGCTCTGATCTGTGTCATTTGAGACGATATTTTTCTCCTTTACTGGATTACCTACTTTTTTATGCCCTGGATGTACACTTTCCTGGTAGTTTGACTTTAAAAAAATTACTTAACCTCTCTGTTTTATTCTCCTTATCTGTAAAATGAGGATGATGATGATGATGATAAATACTTATAGGAATGTTATAAGGAATAATTATTTTAATTTACAATTGTTTCCGCTTCAATTTATACTTAAGAGTATTGCCTGGTACTTAGTAAATACAATAATATTGTTAGCAGCCATTATTATTATTATTATTATTATTATTTTCATTATTATTATTATTATACTTCTCTAGGCTATCCTGAAAAAAGCCAGGGTAGAATATCTGGGATTCCAGGCTCTAGCTTTTCCTTCCTCTCTGAGATGATATACCATCTAGTGGTTGCTTTCCTAGGCTTTTAGACACATAACTCACCTCCATTTGGGGAAAGCCACCTTCTGCCCTTCTATTGCATAGCACCTTGGGGCTGCTTTCTAAATGGGGCCTCAATCTGGACCTCTTTAGAAAACAGTTCATCTAAGATTTGGATTTACTTTCCCAACCTGGATGGTTTTGTTCACCTCTTAAAAGTGCTTCTTCAACTTCTGGCTGGTATTTACCTATTCTCAGTCAAGATGGCCAGTAGTGGAGAGTAGGGGGATATGGATGGGATAGATGTGAGATAAACAGGGCAGAAAGGAAGTTGAGGATTGTCTTGTCAGAATTCATTTTCATAAAGGGTTTCTGTGCCTCTGGGATATCCATATGACCAATCCATGCCCTTGATTCTTTTTCTGTTGGTGTACCTGGTTAATTCAAACAAATGGATAAATAAATTTTGATGAATTCAGTGGCAGCCTCTGTGAAGTAGCATTTGAGTTTGAATTTGGGTCATAGAAATACAAAATGTTATAGACATAGGGGGCCTTACAAATGATCTCATACAGTTTCTTCCTTGTATAATGTATTGAGGAAATTGAGGCCCCCAAAAGGGATGGGACTTTCCCAGGATCATACAGCAGAGTTGAGGCTAGAATCTAGGTAATTTGGTACATAGTTGTGGTCCCTTCACCTATATAAATTTGTCACTGGGTAGTTTTTCAAGGCACAGGACCTTAAACAAACAGAGTGACTCCAAGCATATTAGAGTGTGGGAAGGTGAATGGAGATGTTTCAGGATACTGAGAGTTTTTGGTTCCCCTCAAAATCCCTTGTAGGCATTTGCCTTTTCTGCATTCAAACAGGGCCAGACTTGCTGATGTCTGAAGTCTAGGAGAGCCAGATTTTCAGGGTTCCTTGTCCCCAACTGTACTGCCATCGTTGGGTGGGGCCAGGAGGAGAGGCCTTGCAGCTGGATTTCCTATGTGTCTCCAGGGCCTGGGAGGAGCTTGTCACTCTGGAGCAGTACACAAGGCTCCCAGCATCTGCTTTGAGGTGCTTGGTCACGCCATCCAAAGACAACGAAGCGATATGAATAGAATTGATGGAAGAGTGAATCAGGGGTCACCGTCTGGTTTGCTCGGCAGCCAGTCCATGGGAGCGGCGGAGCAAAGAGAACAAAGCACAGTGTGAGCCCCTGGCCAACAAAATAACCTAATAAATAGAGGTTGCACACCCCAGAGAGCACAGTGGAGTTTCTGGCAGGATGGGGCAGTAGTCATTCTGAACAAACAAGATCTTAATTTATGTCTAAGCAGAGCAAGATTAGAAACCTGCTTCACATTCCTCCTAGAGAGTGTTTCCGAAAATCAGCCAAGTGAATTTCCTCCATTTGGATACAGAGCAGAGAAGCCATGCACATGGCCTTCTAAACATAGTTCCTGGGCCACTGCGCTGGCAGTCACAGGCATGAACTTCAAGGTAGCAGTATCTGATGCCAACTTGTTGTGCCAAGTCGAGGGTAGGGACAGTCTTGTCTGGATCAACATCAAGATCTAAATGGCCTGCTCGGAGCATTGTATATCTGTGCCAATAGCTGACTGACTGTGCAATTCAGCTTCTCCTGAAGATCTTAAACTATTTTCTTTCTGCCTATGTTTCTTTCCTATCTAGAACAGTCTTCCATTTATGATCCATAAAGCTGTCACTTTTACTCCATTCAATTCTTCCCTATAAACTTATCTTTATTCTTCCATAGGATATCATCAAAAGGAAGGAAAAAGAGGAGGTATAATGAAGGATTTTTAATCTTGAAGCTGGAAGATTCTCCAAAGATCATCTGAAATAATCTCTTGAGGCACTAAGTTTCAACTACTATTTACATTCTGGTGACCCTCAATTCTATAAGTCCAATATCATTCCCAAGTTGCAAATAATGTATCAAGGCACTTGTATGCACCACAGGAACCATAATCTTAACATGTTCAACATGGAATCCATCATATTTCTAATAAACATGATCCTACTCTTGAGTTTTCAATTTTTCTTGGTGGCATGATTATCTACCAGCTACCTAACCTAGAACTATAAAGTCATCCATATATCAGCAGCTTCCATTACCTGCTAGACCCAATATCCTCAGCAAGTCCTGTTGATTTTTATCTCCTAAATATATTTCAACTCCATCTGCTTTGCTCTATTTCCATTGCCTTTATTTAAACCCTTATTGCTTTATTTTATTCTAGTAGGACTTGAACCCAAGGGCTCTTTACCACTGAGCTATACCCCAGCCCTTTTTATTTTATTTTATTTTGAGACAGGGTCTTATTTTTTTTTAGAGAGAGAGAGAGAGAATTTTTTAATATTTATTTTTTAGTTTTTGGTGGACACAACATCTTTATTTGTATGTGGTGCTGAGGATTGAACCCAACCACCCGCGCACACCAGGCGAGCATGCTACCGCTTGAGCTACATCCCCAGCCCCTTACTAAGTTTTTTTTTTAAGAGAGAGTGAGAGAGAGAGAATTTTTAATATTTATTTTTTAGTTGGCAGACACAACATCTTTGTTGGTATGTGGTGCTGAGGATCGAACCCGGGCCGCACGCATGTCAGGTGAGCGCGCTACCGCTTGAGCCACATCCCCAGCCCCCTTACTAAGTTTTAAGGCTGTCCTTGAACTTGTGATCCTCCTGTCTTAGCCTTCCAAGTCACTGGGATTACAGGTGTGAGCCAACATACCTGGCCAAACCCTCATGACTTTAGATCAGAACTATTGTCATTATCTCCTACCTGATGTCCCTACCACCATTCTGGGCCCCCTCTACTTCATTCTCTACAATGCCAAAATAATCTTAAAATATAAATCTGATATGGAACTCTGGATCCTTAAATCCTTCAATGACTTCTCATTCCTCTTTTTTTTCTTTTAATTTTATTTTTTATTTATTTATTTTTTATTGGTTGTCCAAAACATTACAAAGCTTATCATATTACATAT